TACTCCATGTTATGGGACTACAGCTGAGCATGCTTCCAGAAAGAAGCATATTAAGAACCAAGTTCTGGTTCTTATCAGCAAACATATCTCTTCTGGTACTGCTGCTTGACATAAGGACTAAGCTGGATGCAAAGTAACAATCCAAAAAGATATGGAAGTAGTAAAAGCTCAGGGAAAGAAAGTATATTTCCAGTCTGGTAAAAAAAAAAGCCTTAAAGATCTGCAACATGAGGACATGAAGGTTTTCTGTAGAAACCTTCAGCTTTCACTTTCCTTCCCACAGGGACTAGAATTTGAAAAGGGGAGATCTGCAGCACTTCTTACAGCCCATCAACACTATCAAGTTCAGAGAAGATCAATGGAGACATAAACAGCATGAGCGACCAAGAATCAGAAAAGAGAACTAAACTGATGAAAGCCAGAAGAAACCTACAGAAGACATTCCAAAACAGAGGAAAATTCTGGCTCCAATTACATGCTATGCCATGCATATCTATAAGCACTAAATATTTACTGCACAAAAGCGTAACTTGTACCTCTCTCTTTTACACCCCTGCACAGTCCAACCTGTGTGGCTAGAAGTCAGTGAAGCTGGAAGGGAAAAGTTTCAAAGTTCTGTTTGTAACCATCAATTCTTGAAGTGCAAACATATAACTACCACAGAAAAGTCACTTTCTTTGTGTTTTTACTAGGGATGGACTGAAACTGCTGGGAGAGTTTCAGTCCAAAGACAACTACCTCTTCTGACTGGAAAATGAGTCTGCATTAAAAGTAAAGACATACCTAGAATGTCAAGACTGCATGCATCTCAGAGCAAGCTGATAAAATCTGTCCAGGAGCTAGCACTGAAGCTTCTCAGTTTTCTTTGAACAGATCTAGAACTGAACTTTGCATTTTCCTTCAATATGCTCTTCCTAGGAAGGAAAAGAGGTATTATACACCTCTCAGACAAAGGAAGAGACAGTAACTGAAATGCCACATTTCAGGGATGTCATAACTCAATTTTATGGGGTTTTCAGTGCTGCAGGTTTTGAACACAAACACTGCCAATTCCATTATATAAATGTACATAAACAACAGGAACATAGCAATAAATAAAATAAAAATATGCTTCATCCAGGTGGTTTCAGAGTACCTTTAAAATTTGTCTCAGGTGAAAAAATCTTCCGTAAGAAAGTGCCATTTTTTCAACATTTTTCCAAATTCTTCAAATCTCTTCTGAGAAATTCTTAAGTCTTCTAAATATGCAGCAACCTAATATCAAAGTTCTACCCCAATCCAGAAGCCGTCATTATTTATAGAAATGCTTTCTTTCATTTCACTTCAAACACCTATTTTGACAATGTGCTTGACAAAGTCAGAACAAAGGTAAAAGGCTTTTTCTGTGTTGACTATTACTCTTTGCCACGCTGTTTCAAGGTGACAAACTGACACTGTTGGAGTGGTTAACTAGAAAGAATGGAACCCCTCCATCTAGATAACAAAAAAGGATTGAAACTTTGTCTACAGGCCAAACTCAGCAATACCTGGATATCCTTAAAATTAAGTTTCAGGTGAACGTTACTTCTATTTCCCCATGACAAACTCCTTTATACTACAAATGCAGGAAACCACCAATTAATTTAGAATGGAAACCATAATACCAAAGTAGAAGGTAATATAGACTGCAGCTTACTAAGAGCTACTCAAGTTAGAAAAAAACCCATACACTGCTCTTAATGAATGTTCTTTCTAGTCAAACTGATCTAATGCCTGTGCCATCCAGATTAACATTAGGTCATTCTCTGTATGAAAATTAAACTATTCCTTTGGAATATTCAATGCATTTCAAGTGAGGTTGCAATGTCAAACATTGCCAGGACTGTAAGTGGCCCTACAGACAGTAGCTGTGACCCTTCACAATTTCTAGTGAAGGGTGTTGTCTAGTCAATTAGTCTATAGGCAGTATGGAGCCTGAAATGATATTCTGCTATTTTTGAGCCATTAGTTTAAGATCAATCACAAGAACAGTGTAGTTGAATTCTATATGCCATTTCCAAAACAAGGAAAAAACCCAAAACAACTGAATTAGTGGCCAATTGCCTTATTGTACACAAGCCTGCAACTCATTTTGGACAGGACTTGAATTTGGCTCTTTATAGTACTATAATGTTCAATTCACCTTAGTTTAGCTCCAAGCTGAATGACTGCTATGAAGCAAGCATTTACACCTTATTTAACTCTGCTGGGGTCAGATTAGAGCACAGGTGGAAAGGAACTGGTTGTCAGGCCTACCTGCTCCACCCTTCTGGCTCATTCCAATTAGCAGTCTGTACTACCTTCTCCTTTCAAAGGGATGGTTGACTTATATTGGAGATGAAAAAGGAGGAACAGCAAGAACAGAAGATATGACAAAAGTGAACAATATTACAATCCCTCTTTACTATAAGGAAATTTGAAATATATATAAAAAAATACATACATTTGTGTGACACATGGCAGAAAAAACTGCCCAGCTACAGCCTTCTCTGCACAAGCACCAGTATTTCAAGCTGAAAACCATACTAGCTATTCCACAACTTGACAGAAACTCTTCTGATCTTCTTCCTATTGCCTCTGACAAAATGAACAGCCTGTCTGAGCGTCAGCTGTTCAGAGTCCTGAGCTTTCAGGACAGGCAGAGGAGAAGTTGCACTCAAGTTTCATTTGGTATCTAGTAATAGAAAGTCATAGCTAACAATATGACTACAGGACAGGAGTTCAATGCCAAAGATTTTTGATTTTACAATGTGTTTCCAGTTTAAGATAGTACTGGCCTCAGCAGCCATGGAATACAAGACATAAACAAATACTTCCTCATCGTCTTGAGTAAAATCAGTCAGGTCCATGCAGCCCAAAGGTGAATAATACATAAACCAAGAGACTTTGTCACTGCTAAAGTCACAAACAGGTCAACCGGCCGGAACGACTATTTGAACACAGCAGACCCATCTACAACCAAAGCAAACCCACCTACAACCAAAGCAAACTTGAGGCAATTCTTGTGTACAACCAGAAGCACTGGGAAACCAATCTCTGAAGGCTCACAGAAACCACAAAATAGCTCTGAGACTGTTTAATCCACCCCCGTTACCTAAAGCATGGTCAAGGATGTGGCTCAGGGCCACATCCAGTTGTCTTTTGACTGGCTCCAAGGATGGAGATTCCACAAACTCTCTGGACAACCTGCTCCAGTATTCAATCACCCTTACAGTAAAAGTGGTTTTTATGTTTTAATGAAGCTTCCTGTATTTTGATTTACGCCCATTTCCTCTTGCCCTTTCACTGGGTGCCACTGAGAAGAGTCACACAGTCTGTTTTCTTTATTTCTTCATTATGTATTTGGATACATTGCTATCTCCCCAAATCCTTGCTACTGCAGGCTAAACAGTCCTGGCTTGCTGAGCCTGTCTTCCTTCATGGAAGATGCTCTAGTCCCCTAATTGTCTTTTTGTCCTTTGCTGGACTCATTCCAGTATGTGTATCGTGTATACAGTAGTGGGGAGCCCAGCACTCCGCTAGTGCAAAGCGGACAGAAAGGATCATGGTTCTTGACCTGCTGACAACTCTTGCTGACACAGCCCAAGTATGCTGAATTTCATTGCCAGAAGGATGCACTGCTGTCTCATATTTGGCTTGGCGTCCCCCAAGACTGTGAGGTCCTTTCTGTGAAACTGCTTTCCAGCTGGATGGCCCCCAAAGTGTACTAGTGCATGGGGTTACTCCTGCCTAGTACAAGACTTGATATTTCTCTTTGTTGAACTCCGTAAGATTCCTGTTTGTCCATTTCTCCAAAAGAAACAAAGTACCTGTCCTGGGCTCAGCCATAGCAGTCATTTTTCTCCTTTTTAGTAGCTGGTGCAGTGCTGTGTTTTTGACTTTCAGCCTGGGAACAACGTTGATAACACCGATGTTTTTAGTTGTTGCTAAGTAATGTTTACTCTGACCAAGGACTTTCTCAGTCTCATGCTCTGCCAGGGAGAAGGGGAAGTTGAGAGGAAGCAGAGACAGGACACCTGAACCAAACTAACCAAAGAGCTATTCCATACCACAGCACGTCATGCCCAGTATATAAACTGGGGGGACTTACCCAGAAGGCCCAGATCACTGCTCAGGTAGGGACTGGGTATCAGTCAGCGGGTGGTGAGCGGTTGTATTCTCTTCCCTTGTTATTTCCCTTATCATTATTATTATTGGTGATAGCAGTAGTAGTTTGTGTTATACCTTAGTTACTGGACTGTTCTTATCTCAGCCCATGGGAGTTACATTCTTTCCAATTCTCCTCTCCATCCTTCTGGGAGCGGGGGAAAGAAGTGGGGGAGTGAGAGACTGGCTGCATGGTTCTGGGTTACCGGCTGGGCTTAAACTACGACGGTACCTCTGAATGATGGCATAGTCATCACTCTGACAAGTTTTGCAACATATGTAAAGTTGCCAAAGGTACCCTCTGTCCTATCATCCAAGTCATTAATGAAGATGTTAAACAGTATTGGCTCCGTATCAGCCCCTGAAGTACACTACTTATGACTAGCCTTCAAACTACTCTTCACGCTGCTGACCACAATCCTTTGAGCCCAGCAGTTCACCCAGTTTTCAGTCCATCTCACTGCTCATTTATCTAGTCCATGTTTTATCAGTTTGTCTATATACCTGACACTCTTAAAATTGATTTGTAGAGTCAACCTGGCTACAGCAAGCATGTGTTTCTTTTTGTCTCTAATACACTGACCTCAACCAGTTTAGAATGGGAAGCTACTGTGAAGGGCCCAGCGTAAGTTTATGGATAAAGGGGGAAAAAAAGAGGTCAGAACAACCTAAAAAAAAAAAAAAACAAAATAAATGTTTCTCAGCATTAGCAGAAAGAAGAATCTCCTATAGGAAAAAAAAATTTGAGGAGAAACAATAAGTATCAGTTGAGACCAGATGTTAGGAAGAAGAGGCAAATGTGATCATTGTTTCAGAAATAAACAGTTTATACTTACCAAATTATCAGTTTCTGGATCTTCACAGAAAAAAGGTTTTCCTTCTTTCTCCTGCTTCCTTACAAAATTTTCAATATCTACATCAAAACTAGCAGAAGTTGTGCCTTCTGAGCCTTGTGTAGATTGTTCACATTTTTCAAATAATAGTGCTAACAGGGGAAATAGTGGGTGCCTAGAATAAAAATTAAAATACATGAATAAGTACTTTCACTTTTGTGTATACCACTGAAAAGAAAGATCTACCTCATGTAATGTACAGTCATTTATGTAAGAAACAGACAAGCCTTGGAAGAGAATGCAAATAATACCACTAGCTACAGAAAAACATGATGGAAGCTTGGGTTTGGGTTTTTGTTTTTATTTTGGTTTAACCACACAGCCTAGAGGCAAATAAAGCAGTAAACCAGGTATACTTAAATAAAGAGAACAATCGCAAGCCAAGAAGATTATGACATAATATTTTGTTCACTGTAACTGAGTGGCAAGAAACACATTAATATAGTAGATTAGGAATTAGGATTTAAAATAGAATTAATGTAGATTTAAAACTCTGATAAAAATCATTTATTCTGAAATGTGGCTCATACTTAAACATCACAAATAACTTTATAGCATAGATACTGTTCTTAGTACTGTACTCAGAGGCCTCCTATGAAATCATGCTCAGAGTAGAAGATGATTTTGTTAGCACAAGTCTGAAAATGACTGGATACACCCTTCTGCTTCAGGTTTTTTGCTAGGATTTTTTTTTTTTTACATGCAAACTGGTAATACTAATGTCTTTATAAAGCACTTAAAGTGAGAGAACACTTAACCTCATCAAAACTAGGCATACCGCTTAACACAGCATTTAACATGGGAAAATCTCAAATTAGTGTATTTATACATCAACATTTAATCCAGTTTGAGCTAACTACTGGGCAATAGATTATTATCCCTAAAGAGGGTAAAGATTGACCTAATTATAACAAAAATAAAATCTCACATTAAAGATTAAAAACTGCAGCATACCAAATAGTGACTATAGTTCAAAAGTCTGAGTTGCTTGCTAAATTTCACTTGTGCTTTAACGGCAGCCACCCTTAGAATACCCTTTAAAACTATGCTGAAATTGAACAATCCCACAATAAAGGGAAGATTTTTTCTTGGCTGAAGACTCACAGTGAAGCTAATTTGATCTCATTCTTTCCCTGCAAACTACTGAGACAGCTAGGCACCTAGTTTTAAACTATTTATTAAAAAAGTAAAAAAAAAAATCTTCTATTACCCTTCAAAAGACAGAACACGAGTCCATTACTACCTGTAAATGGCCTGCTTGTCTGCATCCATTGGAGTCTGAGATTCTACCGGGGCAGGACTCACCCCTTCTGCATCAGTATCTTGTTCAGTTTTTAATTCTGTTACTACTTGCATCTGTAGAAAAAGAGTAATTTATAAGTAAGCCTGCATGCTTGACGTAAAATAAGCATACTGTTTTCCAGCAAAATAGCAATGCAAAGGGCTACTAAATTGCCAGAAGGTTGGTATGACTTGGCAGCTGCACAAAAAGCTGCAGCAGTAACAAAACCCCTCTTTTAATCCTTGACACTTTTTGATGGGTAGTTTAAAGGTCACTTCAAGTTTCAGCACTCAGCTTTAAAATGCGAATGACAGATATCAGTAAACTGTTAAAGCATGTTGTCTCCAAAATGGCTACCTTTGGAATACAGGTTACATACAAAATACATTGTTCCAAAAAAATCATGGGGATGTCTGCATAAAAATCCTTTAGGATACAAGCAACAGAAAGGCAAGTTTCTACTCTTTGGCTTTCCTTCTTATTACTTACTGTACATTGTATCAGGATAGTGAAGAAATGAGATTTTGAAGTGTCTCTTGTCCATTAAAATGCGTATTTTCTTCTAAAGAACTGAAATAGTCTGTGTATTCTGTGTCTCTCCTATCTTCAGGAGCATAACCTCCCCTGACCTCTACCACTCAATTTACATATTGTAATTAACAATTATTTTAGGAATATCAAGCTACTGGAGAAGATGGCAGTAACTGCTTCTATAAATCCATTTAACAAGTTACACAATCTCCCACTATTGGAAAAACAAGGTAGAGCCACAGCTTCTACAGAGTAGCTCCAAAATTGCGGTAAATGGCTGGTAATGCCTTTGAGGTGCTTTAAATGTGTGGCTTTTAAATCGCCTTAAGTGTCTTTTGGACTAAAAGGTCTTAAAGGAACCTGACCTGTGAAAATCATTGTTTCTGCCCCCAACCCAGGCTCCTATTGGAGCCCTGGGAACACCTGTACAAAGAACTTCCTGCAATCTTCTTTTTTATTACTTTAACCCTAGCACATTCTGTCTCAAGTAGAGACAGACAGTGTTACAGATACCACCAGAGAGACAGCACTGACACCTGCAGAAAGGAAATGTACAAAATGCAGTCCTCTGCCTTCTTTTCCCATGAAATGGACACATTCCATCACACACAGAAACCCTCCAAGAGGAGGGCTGGCCTCCAGAAACTACTAGAGAATCTGACAGAATTGAGGACCAAAAGGTGATGTCAAGCCATCTCCTAGCACTATCAGAAAGTGAGAAAATGCCAGCATATCCTACCCAACAGAGCAGCCTGCCTTGCAAAGCTGTTCCTCATCAATCATAGATAACTTTTAAACCAGAATGCTTGCAAAAAAGATGCAAATAATGGAATAATTTCTTGGCTAATGACACAAAGGAGGAGCAAAATAAAGAGGATGACTCATACAAGTGATCGAAAATGTTGAGCCATACATCTACAAGTTTGAAGGAAGAGAGCATGTTCAGCTAGGGCTCCATCTCACTAGGGGGAAATAGTTCACTTAAAACTTCAAGCTATTTTCTGTGGGCCATTTCCAAAATACAAAAGCAGCTGGCACCCAAACTACATGCCCAGGTCACCCAGAACTTAAAATACAAAACAAATAGAAATAAAATTCTCTCTACTAATCCATTTCTTACAAGAAGATGTATTACTTTCACTGATTTGTTGTCACAGGATGGCAAGGGGAAATAAAGTAAAAGATGTAAAGCAGGTGAGAGAAGAGAAATTCGAACTGCAATAAAAGTAGCAAACAACAACAAAAATCAATAATCCCAGATTGCATTCAGGTAAACACATTTTTATAAGACATGGGAAAAGTTGCCTCTTTTTTTTTTTTAATTCTGACTGTTCACCACTATTTCCATCTGCTGACAGAAGTACTTGTATTTACTGCTTAGGGCTGACATAAAGTAATGTAAAAAAGGGTCTTCAGAGTACAGGCCACTGCATCACTTGTCTCCAGTTAACAGTATTTTAATGTAGCAATTCAAATAGTTGCAATATACAGCCTGCTGTACAATGAAGAAACAACACAGCCAGACATATCAGAGTATGTTTCATTATTCTAGCTGTTTGTTACTATAAGTAAGAAACTGGAAGCCCACTGACCAGCTTCCTAATTAGCTATTTTATCAATGACTTCATTAATATTAATTCAAGTATTTTTCCAGTTTTCAGCCTGAAGCGTAATTGAATCAATTTAAGTGTAGTCTAAGTAGCATATAATTCTAGGTAACTAAATTTATCCTTCACTTGCTCAAGACCAACAAGTCTATGACTGCATCAGTGTCATCCACTGTAACTGCAGACACATAATAACACTGAAATATCATCTACAAAGTACTATGGATGCCCATTCGACTTTTCTAAAAACAGGAACATTACAGCACACAAGTGATCTAAAGCAGATTCAGAAGAAAACCTCTTATCTAACCATTCTTTCACAAGTTAATCGAAGTCATGCAAAGATTAGCAAAGCCGTTAATAAGTATCTAAATAACTGCTTATCACTTTAAAGATCTTGTTCTGCAAACAAGAAGAGATACTTAAAAGAATGCCAAAGCAGGCATTAAGGAAAAAGTCACTACCTTATTTTTTCTTGCTAACTGTATTTAGTTCATAGAGAAAGAAAACCACACCTACCTGTTGTCCATCTTGATAGTTGTCTATACTTAATGTCTGTGTTGCCATCATGGTTAGTAATACGTTAATTAGGTCAAATCATCATAAGTACGAACAAATATCCTTAAAAAAAAAAAAAAGGTCAGTTATAAAAGTGACAACTTAGAATCCAGTTATAAAAGATGAAAATATAAAGGTTTATGCACACTTCCCCCCAAAAATCTGCGAATCTGACAATGATAGTTAGGTGCGTATTTTTCAGTGTCGGGGAGGGAGGACAATGATCAAGTTGGAAAATGCTTCAACATTTCATCAGCAAAAAGATCCTTTTATATTTTAACATAAGATTTTTAATAAGTGGCTGTGGTTCTCTTACAAACTTCAAATAAACTTTAGCATATATTTTTGTGCTACTTATCTAAGTTACTCTAAAGTAATATAAAAATCTAGGACAGAGAAAAGATCTACATTTCTGTGTTTTGAGAAGGCTAACAAAACATTGAGCCATTACTGTAACTGAAACAACAATGGACTACAAACGATGAACCAAATGTAAAAAGTATTTAGGAATACCCTATTTACTTATAGGGATCCTATTCTAAAATTAAGGCCTGAAATTACTTTTAGAAACCAAAGTCTCAAATTACTTCTGACACCAGCCATTTAAGGCTCAACAAAGAATAGAACAGTACCTAACAACTTTTAAACACTTGGGCCTATGTGATTATAGTTTCAAAAGTGACCTAGGAATTCAGAAGTCTCATTTTCATAGACATTTGATACTTTGGGAAATATTATTTTTAATGGGATTTATAGCACAAGTAAGAAATTCTAAGCATTAGCTAGAGTTTGGTGCTCAAATGAGTTAAAACACTTTTCCAAGTTAGACATTAAGTAATAAAAAAAAAAGCATAGCACATTGATAAGAGTTTATTCATCATATTACTAATATACATTTCATTTTCTTGTCAGATTAGCAGCCACTACAACTGAAATCACATCATTCATTAGGCTATTACCATTAAGTATTACCACAGAACTCAATTTACCTTGACATGCAGGAGTCCTAATGTTTAGCTACTATTAAAAATACTCATATTAAAAAAGAAGACTAGAGCTCATAGTTCGAAAAAGATTATATCCTGGTATTAACTCCAGGTTTTCTGCTCTCTTCCACTTATACCAGTATCAAAGAACTAAGTTTCAGTATTCTCAGCAGTTTCAAATCTGAAACAAAACCTTTTTTCTTTGTAACGTGTTCAAACATTACATTTTTTTTTAAACTATTTTTAAACCTTTCATTCACTATTGCATACTACTAAAGTATGTGACCATTTTGAATAGCAATGTTTACATTTCTGGATATTTTCCAGCACAGATAATAGTCTCAAGTAAATGTTTCATTTACTAAACCGAAGAAATTTCAGGATCCTCTGCTTTAACAGTTTCAAGCACAGAGACAAACCTAACTTCTTGCGACAAGCCTCAAGCCTTACTGTGCATCAAGTTCTACCCATAGTGCAATTCCTAATGGTTATTTATTTGTTCATTCATAGATTTTTGATTTTTTAATTAGCTTCGAAGACCAGAGAAATCCACAAGGATGACATAAACATGACCTCCTCTAAAAAGCAGGTTACTGACTTTCACTCACTCATGCTTAAATGGAGCTGACACTCTTTGGGAGACTGCCCTTTTACACATGCAAAGGCATCTTCAGAACCACAAATATGAACAGACAACAGATCCTAGTTCTGGTACTGGGTCATGCGCTTGCAGAGCTGAACAAGATGCTATCTGTAGACAACATGCACATACCATCTTAAGTAGCTACAGTTTGGGGATTCCTATGCTAAAGTATATTTTTCTTAGGAATATGATTTACAGAGTAAAAGAGTAAAGACTGTGTTCAGAGTTCTCCTAATCGCTTTAATGAAAGTATTTTCCGGTTCCAATTTGTCTTTACAGAACATCAGTAGTTCTTTCTTTGAAAGTCCAAAAACATGATTTCTTCACAAAAAAGGAATGACATACATCCACTCACTGATAGAAGTACTTCAGATTTTTTTATATGTATTTATGAATCGTTAATGTTAAAGTTATCTCATTTTCCTGTGGCAAATGCTGATTTATCTTTCAAAATACTTTCAGAGGGGTACATTCTGAAACATCAGTCCTGTAAGCATTTGTTTTACATTTAACCATTTATTTTCTTTAAAAAATGGTAGCTTGCAACTGGGGCATTAGCGTCTTTCTATACAAACAGAATGAATGGTCACATACAAAATGCTGCTTGTCTTCCTTCTCAAAAGGCACACATTTAATTTCTGACTGTGATATCCAAAGAACAGACCAGACTACCCTCAAATTAAAAGTAGAACAGATCAGTAAAAGAAGAGAAAACACTATTTAATAATTCATTTAGAAGCTGAAGAAGCTCCTTACAAAATATGGGCAAAGAAACTTTTTGGCTGCGGGAGAAAGATGAAGTTCTTAGTCACAAGTGAGGAAATAAGAGGTAAAACAGTCCTGGAAGAGAAAGAATGTCTTAAGAGTTAGCAAGGATGTAAAATCATATTAGTGACACAAAAAGGCAACAAAGAGGGAAGCAACAAAGATAACACACACAAGCTGGTGAAGACAATAGGACATTGCAAGAATAGCTGGAGAATCTGACAAGCTGGATCAACCCTTCCTTCTAGATTTCCATAAGGAAAAGACATTCCACATCTGTATGTCCCTCAGGCCACACAAAGAAAGAAAAAGCTAGATCCATAGATTATTTCATCAAGAAGGACTTTTGTCCTATTGTCACCCAGTAGAACAGCTGAAAATTCTACATGGGTAAATCCTTCATTTCCTGTAAAAGCTTAACCTCTGACTTATAATTACAGTGGAAGATTAAGCTATTAGGCAAAATAACAACTGATGGGATTTAGCGAAGACAACTACTGCAAATCAAGAAGAACAAATTGAGCTAATCACATACTTATATTGAGGCAATTAACTGAGGAATTACTTTGGTTCAGTAAAGAGGAACATCTCCTCATTACCCAGTACTGGTAAGAAACAAACTACATTAAACTGTAAGAAAAATAACTGAAAAGGTATTTACACATTTGGCTTTTATAACCTAATTTAGGCTACAGCACCCAGTTCTAGTTAACAGATACACAGCCCAAGCAGATGTTCATTCTGCAAGCAATGATGCTAGATGAAAATGGTATCGCACCCAGATGTTCTATCAGTGCCACCCTGGCAGAGTTAATTACTTCCACAGCTCTACCACTGCGCACACAGAACATGTGAATTGTTTCTGATCCTGATCCGTTTTACACAAAGTCAGCTAGGCTAGCTCAACCCGCTGTTAAAGGTGGCTGTGATGTAAACCAGCTGACTTTGTCTGAAGCACACTGCTGTGGACTCATGCAACCCCTGCTCTTGGCTGACCTATTAGTGTGGTAATTTCTGCTCATGTGTGGCAATTATCAACTCACAGCAGGACCATCTTTAACCAGCACAGCTATACCCAATATTATATAGCCTATGGTATCTGAAGTGAGCCTAAGAACACGACTTCTGAACAACTTAGCTCTAAAAACGTCAACTATTTTTTGTTAAAGAAATCAAGAGTAAACGAGAGTAGAAGGAAAACTGTGCATTTGTGTTACAGTCAAAGAGTTACAAATAACAAAAATAACACAAGGGTGAGAAAGTGAGCCAGCCTGCTTCATGCAGAACAGAATTAACTCTGATTCTATTTATTTTGAAAACAAAGTGTGAGGAAAACCCAAGGAAATGTTTAAGGTCATGTAAACTGGAAGCTGATGCACAAACTGCAATCAGAAACTCCACTGAGATCTGTGGCAAAAGGGAATTCATAAAAGCATTGTGTTCTGGAAAACAAAGAGAAATGAAAAAAAAAAAAATCAAGCCTTTAATAAGTATGAAGGTAAAATGCAGAGTAGAAAGGAAGCTAAATTAAGAGGAATAATCATAATTAGAAATGTGGAGACTGTGCAAGTTAAGGAATATCAAAAAGAAGAGATTAAAGGTGAGAAGAAACATGTACACAAAGTGATAACTTTAACATACATCACTCCTCACTTGCTCTACTTACTCCTTCATAATTAAGAGCGAAGGGACCACCCAGTAACATTAACATAAGGTAAAACCAAGCTGTTGGATTTCAGTAATATCATTTTTAACATATACAAGCTACAACAGATGTTTGTAAGAGATATAAATAGTTATGCCTCAGGGTATAAACTAACCACTAACTGTCTTAGGGTTGTGAAGAAACTACCTACCAGACTTGTTAACAAGTAATCCTTCCCTCTAACTTTCCCCTATACATGTTCCTTTGAAGTCCTTCACAAAGAAATGAACGACTGGCAGATTCAGCTATTTGTTCATTCATTGCTCTATAATATACACTCTTATATTCACATACAAAGTTAAAAAGAAATAAAAATCAAAACAGCAAGTCTGTTTGACACATTAAAGGTATCTAGAACCATCTTCACTTTTCATCAAAATACATAATGATATTTGCTTCCAGGGCGCACTGCTTTTTTAAAGGAGATAAAATATTGGATGTGAGAAAGCTCACCCCTTTCCTTCAGTGGGTTGAAAATGACATTATCTTGTTCCAGTAGAGTGATCCCACTGATGTACAAAGTAGACAACAGAAACCTAAAAAACCAACAGAGAAATATTCAGGAGATAACAACATAGCACATACTTTCTGAGACTGAGTATGACCAAAGGAAATATTACAGTTTATTACCCCCAAGTTGAAACTGACAAGCCTTTTTTGTTTGCTTGCTTGCTTGCACGTTTTGCAAATCCGGTTTCTTTTTTTTGGTTGGTTGGTTTTTTGGTGTTTGTTTTTTTTTTTGTGTGTGTGTGATTTTGGTTTTTTGGGGGGAGGGGTTTTTAATTTTAATAATCGCTAATCACACCTACTCATGCTATTATTTGAGCTTTCCCTCATCTTATTTCATTCATTTGCCATATTTACCTTTGCTGAAGCCTCTAGCAGAAGGCTGCATTAGGACTGCTAACTTGCTTGTAGTTCAACTTTTATTATTTTAGTCTCTGGCTCAGTGTCTGTCTGCTTAGACTAGACAAGACACATCCCAAAAATAAAACTATGAAATGCAAATAGCTGTAACTCCTCAGTGTTGTAAAAATTAAGCATGAAACCAAGAAAGGTAAAAGTCTTTTTTATCTATTTATTTAAATTTTAAATCTCCTTCATAAACATGCTTTGATTTTACTATAGAATGTTTTCTAACAAGGACTATGACCAAGTAATCAACTACTTGATATAAAACTAATAGACTACAGGAAAGGGCATGAGCCACTGTTAGGGCCGCATGTTCTGTGAAGACAGGTTCTGCAACATGATTATTCAGCAGGTTTAAAACTGGTAACTTTTTTTTAAACTTTACAATTATTTTAATCACACTTAATAGCACCTGCTTGACATATTTTTAAAATATACTACTTTTAAAAAGTAGTAATGATTGTGAAAGTGAAGTAACAGAGACTGTGAAAATACATTTAAAAAAAAACAATTGCTGAAAAGTATCAGAAATAATACGATGGATAAACACACAGCTGAGATCTTGAAAGAGATTATCGCTTTTTCTCACATAGACAAGGTTCCTGCACTGCCAGTTCTGTCAACTGGAATGAAAGGAACCCCAACATTTTTGAAAATGAGATGAATTTGGTATTTGGATTTGAGAACCAAAATTTATCCATGTGTAGCATGGAAGTAATGTTTTTCAGACACGTTCACAGAAAAGCAAAATGCTAAGGGCCACTCAGCAAATATGCCATCTCTAGTTCATGAAACCTAGCTCTAAAAGAACAGGGGAGATACCCTGATAAGTTACAAGCTTCAACCATCGGTTAGAGATTAAATATTGAGCTAGAAATTTCAGTCCAAACTGAGACACTGTCGCGAAGCTTCAAGGGGCAGACGACATCTTAAAAGTTCTTACCGTTCTCTTAAACTGTTAAAGACCTATGTCCCCAAAGAACGGGGTTTTCTCATTTTTGCAGCTTCTTAATTCTGTTCTGAGGCAGTGTACCCTCTTCCTCCCTTCTTCACAAGGTATTTGTCTTCTGTAATTTTGATAATCATTTTCACACAGCCCAACTTATTGGGCTATCTTCAAATAGATGAATTCTCACTATTGATAGCATCTTCTGAATGTAGGTCACTGCCAGGTAAATTTTGATTACCTCTTCCTTGCCTGCTGAGACATAGGGAAGGACTCCTTCACCACAGCACATCTGAAAAACCTGTTCCCTCCATTTAGAAACAACAGCAGCAAAGAACTGACAGTGCCACTGCTGCCAGATCTGGTCAGTCTGAAATATTTAATGTATGAAGAAGTATTCTTCATACATTAAATGTATGAAACATAGGCCATGAAGAAAGCCTTCAGCTGACACTCTGGAAATAGGCAAGTTTCTGGGCAATGCATGAGAAGTCAGAATTAAAGAGGTACTGAAGAAATGCAGGCACAAGTGAAAGATGCTGCAGAGTAAAAAGTTTGGCTGAGAAGGAGCCACTGGACATTGCAGTAATATTGCCTTCTTCCAAGAGATATCTGGCAGCAATTAAGACAAGAATCTACCCTAAAACATGTCAGACAAGAAAACAGAGAGATCTGAGCTTACAAGTCTCAGTGGGGCAAGACAGGGAACAGGCAAACCTGCTAAATAAAGGATGGAGACAACACCAATTCACTATCAAGCCTAAGCTTGGAACTGCTATTTCCAAGTTGGTTCTTCCTTTTATTCTTCTTGCAAACAAGATTTAAAGTCATGTTACCACAATAAAAAAGACATTTAACTATGAAACAAAAAACAAGGGCAATTTGCTTTGTCACTTAAAAGAAGTGTCACCATTAAAGTTTTTACCATGAAGTAAAATATGACCTTGTAATTCAAGCACTGAAGAACCCTCTTTTTGTTCTCTCATTTTGCATGTCAGCTAGTAAGAAACAAAGACCTGTGCATATACATATGATAAATATTAGCAGACATTAAGATCAAGACATATATTTTTATAGATTCAAATAATAACAAAGCAATACGTAGACAGTATATGACAACACCCCATCAGGGATTCATTCTACCTTTGCTGCAAAGGTAGAATGGTTATTTATCTCCATCAACCTATCTACAAAGAGACACTCAGTAAAATTAAGACAAGCAAATCAGTATGAAGTTGATGCATACAAGTTTATTAAAACTGTGCTCAATGAGAATATACTCCTCATTCAGCAGTAAGGTGGCTTCCATTTCCTCTATCTTATGTACTTACAAAGTACAGTCATTTAGAATATTACGCTTTCAGAAAGATGATGTTCCTGTTCAGGAATATAATGCCAGCCTCAGGGAGCTGCACTACACACTGAACAGTTATTACACAATAGCTACACTGTCAAGTTCCCTAGGAGACAAGCCCTAAAAAGCCACAAGAACATTTTTTGGCTGCACTAAAATGAGATTTACTTTGTGTCAATTTTTCCCCTTTGTTGTTTGGTGGCGCAATAGAGTTATTTATATATTATTTTGGATGACTATCAGATTACATTAAAAAACCTGAATGCATATTATACTTTAAGAAACTAAAAATTTAAAATTAACATCCACCACTAAAATTTCTTTAGAAATACAACTTACCATTAAACTTTCTTTGCCTGTAGGATTTTGAACATCTATACTGTTACATTGACTTTATTCAGCAAGACCTCTCCAACACTATATTTACCACTCTGCTGTCCCATTAATCTTTCCTAGCATCCTCTTTTCATATCACCCCATTTCAGAACTTAACAAACCATACAACGTATTTATATCACAGACTATCTTCCAAGCATCAACACTCAACATCACACTGCATGGCAACCAACCAACCATCTCATGAGATGATTTGCATTCCTTTAGCAATTCACTCTTTGTGCAAACTCTGCTTTTGGTATTTTAAAGGAATTTTGGAAATTCTCCTATTTGCAGGTACCAAATATGAAAAAAAAAGTATAAAAAAAATGCGCCACTTTACAAGCTAAAATTGCACATGCAGTAACTGGTTAAGTGGATATTAAGGATGAATAACAAACCTCTTGAACACAACAAAAGCAGAATTAAGGGCATCTGGGTCTTTTGAAGTACTTTCGCCCCCTAATTCTGTATGCATCCCTATGTTTATATCAACACATTTCTTGGGAAGCATGCATAATAATGGTTCGTGTTCATGGTTCATGTAACCTCCAAATTTACCATAGCTCTTCCTAACAAGGAAGAGAAAGATGAAAAAATCCTATCCAATCTAGGCATAAAATAGCGTCACCTCAGTATGCTACATATCCCGCCTCCAGGTAGCTCTTGGCATTGCAGAAATCCTCAGGTTGCTCTCCTACCTTCTGCAAAATGAAAACCTCAATCTTCCAACTACTAAAAAATTCTCAAATTTAAGAAACCTCCTGCAGCATCTCAGTTTCTCCTTCCCATTTCACACTGTTATTTGACCCTGCTTCATTAGCTCCATAAAGCAAGAGTACAGAATTAAGGAGACTAAACAGAAATTTTGGTAAAACAAAACCTGGGGGAAAGGAAACCTCCCTTCTTTAATTGCTCCAAGACTCCTGAGGGATTAAGGTACAAGAGAGCAAAAATACTTCCCATCACTCCCTCATCCATCTCCCAGCAGAGAGTGAATGAAGATTCCTTTAGTTTTGGTGGGTTTTGTTTTTGTTTTTTTCTTTTGTATTCTTAACACAGCAAATTGCAGAACTTTTTACAATTATTGCTTGTGAATTCTAGCACATATATCATGCATCCCCACCACGAATACCTACTTGTCACAGGACACAGCAGCATTTCTTTTCTCCTTAGTATTACCCAGTGTGCTACCATTGTGACATTTTAGACCCAAAATGAAGAAGATGCATAGTACCTGGCTTGCCACTATCGTAATAAGAGGACTGCATTAGAAAGACTACCAAAACCGCCTCACATACCACAGGATGTGTATCAGCAATTCCACAGCTGGAACAGATTCTAGTACAACCTTCCTACTTAATGACATTTAATTACTTTTTCAAATACAATTTCATTAAAAACAACAACAAAGAGAACTCCACCCTCACGTTTCCCCAGCATTCCCCACATGGATAAACATCAGGTTTGCGTTTGTACTAGACCAATTCCGTTCTTTTGCCATCAAAGCCACTGGAATATCCATGCAAGTGTGTAGTGAATCTCCTACTTCAGGAGACACTCATTTAATCATGTCCTTCCAGGCAAACTAAACCAAAGCAACGGGAAATCCTATTTTAGTCATGATTTGGATCAGCACCCAATAAACTATGACTGAAATTAATCTTGTTTTGTGTTTACACTTTGTGGTTTCATAAAGACACAAAATAACCACCAATCTCACTATGCCTTTATTGCTATTGAATACATTACAATGTTAGTAAGCAGTTTATGTAAGCATATATAAGTTTTCTAACATTTTTATTATAAAACCGTAAGTTTCTAATGATTCTTTCTATTAAAGACTCAATTCTTAATGCTGCTGAAGCACAATTAAAGGATGAAGTAATTTAACTAGTAACTTCATTTAAAATGGACTTAAGATGTTGAATGCATAAGAAAATCCCCTC